GTCGACTTCCGTTGATGGAAAGATGTCGATCCGAGGTCGGGAGATGGAAACGAAGATGGGTGCGAGACACACACACAACAACAGGTCCGTCACTTGAAACTTTCGGGAGAAGAAGCCACCGCGTCCTTGAATTTCTGGGGTTTTATCCGTTTTCTCTCAGATTCCCCTTTCCGATTGGTCTCTCCTCGTCACCTGATGACAATTCGAAACCTTTTGGGACACGGAAGAGGTCAAAATCGAAGTTTAATTCAATCTCCAACCGGAAATGGTCGACAGACTTACATTCTTCTATTATTTAAAAGTTAGCGTTGCATTTTCATAAAATAAAAATCTATTTCTAACTACTATATATTTTTTCTCTAAAACAATTATTTTAACGCAAATTTTAGTGAGGGTTTGGACCTGTCCAGAGCCTCACATGTATTTAGTGGCCGAAAACGTTCAATATGTGTTTTTGACTTTTATTTGCTGGAAATTTTGAATTTAGGTGTGATTTGCGAACAATAAACTTTATTGTATTGAATAAAATAATCATGGATCTATGAATAAAGTAATAGGTTGTAGCACATTAAATAAATTTGCAATAAGAACTTTGAAATCTTTCTTTTTCCATGGAATACTTGGGGGGGAGTCAAGTTTCAAGAACACAGGTTGAGAATCACTGAATTAGAAGGTTGTGTTACAAGTGCAAACAACATGAATTGATCTTGAAATCTGATAAATTTCTGGTAATTATTCCACTGTTTATATAATGACATCATTCCAGAAAACTTTGATGGTTAAAAACACATGACACAATAATTTCATTCTAATAAGCTATAAATTCCTTGCTTTCTTTATCATTGTAAAGTAAATTTTGATGACTAAAGATAATTATATACATTTAAATTAATAAAACTTTGCACAATCAAGATAGGGCTGTTTTGTTTATATACATGTAGTATTGCTTTCTTCTATTTTGCTAAATATGGCATCTTTACCGTTTTAGTTTATTTACTTAATTTTTTTATTCTATATTGTAGAAATTCATTTTATATTACTTAAAGTGATATTTACATAAAATCTAATAACTGACTTATTTAAGTATTGTCTAAAAGACAATACTTAAATAAATTTCTGCATAACATTTTCTAATAGTAATTGGATGAATAAAACAGAATTTCAGTATTCTATTGAACAGTCTGACCATTACAATCATTAAATCTTTATCATGTAAGAAAGTATATCTTAGGTTTGAGGAAATTGACTGCCTAGGAACAAAATTTTCTTTATCATATTTTGCTTTATTTTTATTTTATTAAAATCAAATAATAATAAAAAATAATAAAATTGTTAAAATATATAAATACAAAAATTGTAATAGAAAATAATTTTAATTCTTTAATTTTAAATTTAGACATTCCTGTTTCTTCTTTTTATCAGCAATTTGCATTCTGTATGGATCTATTCCATTGGCAATGATGTCTTTGTCTTTTCCAGAGAATGTTTCATTCAAATCTTAATTGCATTTTAACACACTGAATTTCTCCACTAGCAAAAAAAATTCACCACTAATTGGAATGACAAATTGAGAGAGATTTAAATATGGAAACTACAAAAAATACTTTTTAATTACATTCTTTTAATTATTATCAACCCAAAAACAATAATATAAGGGATGATGACAAGGAGACTTCAGTTATTTAATAAAAAATAAATTTTCTATGTTTGAAATGAGACAAGGATAACAATTGTAACTATTTTTAAGTGGTAATTAAAGTAATTTATATATTATTTTAATTAACTATGTATAAATTATTTTAATCAACTACCACTTAAAAGAAAAATAGTTACAATTATTATTGTTGTAAAAATTATTTTAGCAGTTTTAAAGTTTGGATATGAACAAATATGAATCCAATTAATCTATTACTATGTTACCAATGTATTTGTATTGAGTGCTCAGAATAGTAACATTTGATAAGAAAAAAAATGAAAATGTAAATAAGTGAAATATCAACTGTGCAGTCCATTACTGTAAAGAATCCATAGTAGTTCTTTGTTCATTTTTGTTTTCTTCCATTTCTCTTTATTTTTGATGTTTCAATCATCAAATTCACTAGTAGAAATTTTGATAAATAATGGATGAAGTACAAAACAATTACTGTTATCAGCTGCAATCTTGTTTTGTAAAACAGCAGTGAGAATAAAATTTGCTATGCTAAAATAAATCTTTTTTACATATTCATTTGAACTATATTTACAGTTCTCCACAGTGAATAAGAGCTAAGTAATTGGTTATCATGAATATTAAAATTATTTACTATTTAATTTTTAAGTTTATTTATACATGTATCACTATATATTTTATTATTATTTGATTTAGAAAAAAACAGAAATGAAGCAGTATAATAAAAAAAATTTCTCTCTCATTTCTTTACTGGAACTGCAAAGTATATGTTAACAATAACAAATGACCAAAATCATTTTTACTATACAAGTTTACCAAACTTACATAGTAAAAATGATTTTGGTCATTTGCATTTATTAAAAAAATTTTTTTGTTCCAAAGACATTTGTATCTTTTGCACATGAATCTTAAGAAGTTCCCTCCCAGTATTTTGTTTTATCATTTCACTTATTTTATAACTTCCTCTACAACAGAATGAAATAAAAAAAACATTTTAATGTTTGAGATTGTATCTTATATATTGCATACCATAGAAGTGTTATGCTTTCAATAGCTGCTATAGAGACATAGGGTATATAGTGAGGTGAGTTATGCAATGGTTTTATTTCCACTAGCCTACAGACGTAAGCCAGACACATTCGCCATGTTGAGAAATGAGAAAGATCAGGCCGAAATCGAAAAAACACCATGAAGAACTCCTGTTAAAGGATAAAAGATTCAACAGGGACCTCGTATATGTCAGATCTATAAAAAGGTCGCTCAGACAATGCCTCTGTTTTGTGCTCACAGAGTGAGCACAAAACAGACATTGAAAAAAAAAAACAATACCATCTTAGCGATATATTCCAACGAAAATAGCATTATCCCTAACCTACAACAAGCGACACCGATTCGACAAGCCCAACATATCAACCAACTATAAATCTGGAGAGGTTAGAAATTTTTAAAGTGGACTGCAAAGGCCTGTCAATCAATTTTAAAGAAGAAAAACAACTATCAAGAGCATGGCAGGCTATTTATGACGCAACGCTATAATAATTAGTGCAGGTGCACGTCATTTGGAGATTCGAATTTTGAAATTTTAAAAAATAAATTCCAAAGATAGAAGCATTAGAGACCCAAATGGTTAAAAATCGGAATCGCACTAGAAAAACTTGTAAAACACCTGAGGAAGACCCTAGAAGTGGGTCGAAAACGTTTGTGTTACATTTTTAAGTAGTAAATGCAAAGCTATACAAGGTTAGTATGACATATCTGTAATTATCACTTTGTTTACTGGATGGATTTGATTTATTTCCACTCTAGTAATTTTCTACAAGGTTATATGCTGCCATAAGTTATCCACTCAAAATTATTTTAAGATATATATATATATTATTATTATTATTATTATTATTGTGATGTTAAAAGAATTATAATAAAACTTACCCTTTTGGGCAATCAGGCAAACAATTACCACCATGCAAAACATATCCTTGTATGCAAGCTTGGCATTGTCCCATTTCATGACCAATACATTTTAAACAAGTTATATGACAAAGCTGACAATGATGATATTGATTAGCAAAGTAACCATCAGGACATTCACTAACACATTCTCCATTAAATAAATAATGACTGAAAATATAAATAATATTAAGTATTAATTCATTTCAAATTTTGAAATATTTCAATCACTTTATAATAGTATAAAATATGTAACAGTAATCATGTAAATTATGTAATGGTTTTTAATTAAATGAGACAATGGTTCCTTATCTTTAAGTGACAACTTGTAGATTAAAACTATGAAATTAATGAAATTAAAATTTTAAATAATTAATTTTTTAAACTTCATTCTCTTATATTTCATTTACATTCATTTGTTGACAGTTATATATATTAATATATTATTGTTGGTACAAATTACTAATACTTATACATATGTAAACAAGCAGTTCTTAATAAGTCATGTCTATATAATCTGTAAAACTAGAAGAAACAGCTGCTGCTTTCTCTAAGTTTTATAACATAAATACAGGTAATCCCCGTATAAGACGGCACTTCTATAGCACAGATTCACTCTAGCATGGTTCGAGAATTGGGAACATCCCCATATAGCACGGGTTCACTCTAACATAATTCGGGAATTGAATAAAACCCTCGTACAACATGAAATGTAATAAAGGGTGCATTCTTTATACCTCCGTGTAACTCCATGCAAGCATTCAAATTGTTTTCGTGACTACTTTGAATGCTCTTTCAACAAATAATCCATATAATGGTTAAATTTTACAATTGGGACCCTTCTTTTGCCTCTAAAAGCTCATTTTAAAATTATAGATCCCTCCATCACGATACTATCGATAGTGCAGGCATCACCATCTTTCTTTCACCGTCGTACGTAAATGCCTACAAACAGCAGCACACTCCCGTTGCAGAGCAACCGCTATTAACGAACACACCTACAAACTGTTATCAGTTGATGATGCTCATGCTGAGATCATCATATAGGATGAGTAATCCTCTGGTAAAATATTTATTTAAATAATAAATAAGTATTTTACCTATGAAAAAATGAATAATAAGTCCGATTTAAATAAGGATTTAACAGCATATTTTTTTAATTTTTGGAACCTAACCACCCTTTTCACACTAGTTCTTTGTTTCGTATAACACGGATTCACATAACATGGCAATTTTTTGGAATGTAACTCCCATGTTATACGGGGTTACCTGTATTTATTTTGAAAATGAATCACAATTATTATCATTATTTTTCAAATAAAATGATTATCTATAGGATAGATTAAGATTAGATGATTAATTTGGAAATTAGAATTAAAAAGATAATACTATAGAAACACGAAAAGTAAAAATTAAAAGCTTAAGTTATTTTTAAATTGTTGTGTAATTATCAAAATATTGCAATTAATATCAATATAAGGTTAAAATCTGAGATTTTACTAATTAATTTAGTATACAAGGTTATAACTTCTACAATCAAATGATCTGCCAGATTTTTAATGAACTATTTTAAGTTTGATTAATCATCTGAAACAAAGTAATTTGGCTAGAGGTAGGTAGTTAGGGCACTATCTCATGATAATTTATTTACAATTATTAAATTTAATTAATTTTAAATTTAATTTAGAATACTCTGAAAGAAAAGAATTGGTCTGAAGCAGGAACTTAAACCCACAATTCTCACTTATGTCGTGATTGTGTTGCCACTTATGCTACCCAGATCTCTGTCTAATCTTTACTTCCAGGGCCATTAATCAATTTAGATATAATCATATCGGTCATTAATGGTGGTAAATGGGGACAACTTGCACTACCCAGATAAAGGTTTTGGATATTCTTTTCTTCCAGAGTATTCTAAATTAAATTAAAATTAATTAAATTTAGTAATTATAAATAAATTATCATAAGATGGTAGTCTAATCATTTACCTTTAGCCAAATTACTTTGTTTCAGATTATTAATTGAACATAAAATAGTCCAATGAAAATCCAGCAGATTGTTTGGTTATTCTAATAAATGAGATTATGGATATTATTATATGCATATGTATAATTTCTACAGTAGGAATCATAACTGAACTACTTGATTAAAAGCATGAATTATTTATTATGTTTTAACTAACTTTCAAAATATATAACTAGAAAAAAGTTAACAAAAAGAGAAAAATTGTATTTCAAAAATGGCATTTAAAGTTTGTAAATATTAAAAATCAAATTCTATGAGGTGCAAGTATTGTAATAAAATAGAAAAATTAATCTTAAAGCATTTCAAAATTCTACACAAAATTTTTTGTGTGTTCTGTTATTATTATTTGTATTACCTGAAACAGAATAATATTTAAAACTCTCAAAAATGTTACAACATATACATTATATTATATTTCTGTGGCAAGTTATAGTGTCTTTTATTAAAAATTTTGTTTTACATGTGTGTTGCCATAATCACAAGATATATTTAGATACAAGGTATGTTCAAAAAGTTCCAGGAATGGACCTACAAAATGAAACACATTACATATACAGTTCTTTGTAACTTACATGTGATCAGCTTTATGCATTCATTTGATGATAATCATTTCATCTGTGCATTATGTAATGGATGCAATCCCTTATCAAGCTGCAATATTACACTCAGGCAAGAATGTATTTAGGAGTTCTTTGATTCTTCATGTTTATAGGTTTTCCATATCTCGATCTTACATAGTTCTAAGACAGTAATTATGTTTTTTAATCTGGATAAACCAGAAATCCAAGAACTATGCTAAACAATGGTGCAATCATCCAGACTCCTTTGATATAAGGATGAAAGGGGACAGAATTGCACTATTCATTTCCACAATAATCAGTTGGAAAAGCTTTGACAACATAGAATATAAATTCCCAAACTGTTAATTATCACCACTATTTTAATATCAAAATAGTCTGTATAAAATATTACNAAAATAAATTGGTTTTGGTCAAACTTTCCTTTATCAATTCAAGTAAGCATGAGAGAATTTTTTCACAACCAACTTTTTCCCTTATATATTGCATATTCAACAAAGATAGACTAAAGCATTAAAAATTCATTAAAATAACAAATATTTTGTTTGATAGCCAATTTTAAATGACGAGATAAATTTAAATAAGTCGACGGCAGTTTCTCTTAATATCATTCTTGTTAAAATGATTAAAAAATAATGTATTTCAAATTTTTTCCTAAGGTAATTGGTTTAAATATTTAGTGGAATGATATAAAATTGATGATTCTTTAGAATCAATCAATGCTAAGTCTATAGTTATGTAAAGATATTAAATTTGACATGCATAGTGATTTTAAAAAGTGCATGTTAACAAATTTTAATATATTTTTTTTAACAGCTAATAAAATAAGTTTTTATAATCTGTGCTTTAAACAGCACAAAAGAGTATTTTTTTTTATCTTTCATTATAAATGATACATTTCTACAAGAAAAATAATTTTCTCATTAACAATTCTGACTTATAGTCTTTCAACATATTTCATACGATATGATTATATTTGTATTATATAATTAGAAAGGTTTGTGACCTAAATTTACCTTATAATAGTATACAAATATTCTCACTAGCCTTAGAGGGCACTAGGATCTGTAATTAAGATATGAAAGTTTATGTTTTTTTTATATGCTCGATCTCCTCTTCTTTAGGTTGTAAAGCTGTTGAGAGAAAAGTTTGGTGTGTTTGTGGTGCACGCAAGTAAATTTTATAAGAATATATCGACGGAGATATTTTCTTTATGATTATGGAGCACCAAGTAACCAGGATAAGTAAAGAGGCACCAAACTATGCATTTAAATGCTTGTCAAAGAATGACTTTATAAATGTAAGAAACAGTGGCACTTTCATTGATTATGTTTTACATTTTACAATATATATCATCCTCTTCGTCATCTTGATCATGTTGAGTGAGAAGAACTTTTTCCATTTTACTGTCATAGCTGCTAGTTATTTCTTCTGGCACTCTCTTGTAACTATGATTCCAAACAAAGCGTCGACACCATCCTAGAGAAGATGCCTGAAGAATACCAAATATCACAAGAAATAGCATTACGGCTGAACTGCAGACCATTAAAATGGTGAAGGCAATATTCGAGCTTTCAGAAATGTCCCCCGATAACTGCAATTTGTCTTTGTCTTTTCCTTCATTAACAACACTGCGAGGATAATTGTCCGAATTTACACAAACATCTGAAAAGTAGTATATTATATTTAAAGCATTTAATATAATTTAATTCTACTATATTTAAAATTTTGTTGATTTTAACTACCTGAGTTTTCAGTACAAGTACAACAATCTAAAGAATTTGCAATATCAAATTGACAACAGGGTAAACAACGATGATGAATAACATCAAATTTTAAAGGAATGAGACAGCTAAGACACTGATCTTCAGCAGGACCAAAACATCTTCCGCAGCTTGGATGGCAATGCTCGCAAAACTAAATAAAAAAGAGAATTCTAACAAATAACGCATATTTTGAAATTTTAATGATATCATCTAAAACTTACTTTGGTATCTTGGTCAAAATATTCATCATGCAAACATGATATGCACACTCCTTTTCTGAAAGTAGCATTATCTGGACATGATAGACAAGCTGTTGGGCCTGGACCTAGATATTCATGTTTGTAAATATTCTAGGTATGATTACTTTATTCATAAAAAATAAAATTAGCAAAATGATTTTTTTATAATTGAAAAAAGCTTACCACTACAACTTTTACAACTGTGATGACAAGGAAGACATTCTTTCCCATCAGGAAGTTCACGAAGATAATAACTTTCTGGACACTTTTCATCACGACACATCCCATTAATTAAATATTTATTAAATTTGCATGTTGTACAATTTTTATTTGTTCCACTCAGGCAAGTCAGACAACTTTTGTCACACGGTTCACAATTATTCATATCTGATTTATAGAATCTAGAATTTTATTAAACAAGAAGTATTCTTTATTTTGCTGTGTTAACAAAATCTAAGAATTTTATTGCAAATGTGCAATAAATATCGCTATTTATTGTGATATTTATTGCATATAACAACAATATAGAAAAATTTTATTATAAAAATTTTTAAAAGAAGAAAATACAAGCAGTTAACATTTCAAGTTTACACAAAAATATTCTAAAAGTCATATTTTCAAACCATTTCAAAAAATCATTTTCTTTTTGAATTAAAGCAAACAGATGATTGTAAAAATCCAGGAGTTATCAAATCTTATATTATTAATCATTCAGATAAATTGATGAAATGCCAATTTACAGAAAAGCAAAAATTCATTAATAATGAAGACTTTTTGTGTGTTTTATTAGTCAAATTGTGAGGAGATAGAGCTATGTGATAAGGTCAGGTTATATACTGATTTTAAATTACAATTATGAACTCAAAATTTTTCTTTTATATAAACTCACCAAGAGCATTTTCAGAAAGTGTGAAATATGTCTGGTCAGAGCCAACCCAAGAGTTTTTGGTACTCTAGGCAGATTTCAATCTTAGTGCCCTCCATTTTCACTAATAGACACCTGTGCATTAAATAATCTGACGAACATTTGACAGCTCTGGATTTATACATAATATTTATCAATTATTTTAATTGGAATATTACTCTTTAACTCAGGGATGGGCAACCCGTAGCCCACATTAATAGTTTTTGTGGCCCACGTCACATAAAATATGAATAAATATATCAGTTTCCCAGCTTAAGGAAGTATGCAGCAAAAATTCAAATGTTATTTTCCACAACCTATCTATGTGAATAGTTTCTCCCACAATGAATTTAGTAAAAATTAAAACAAGAAACTGGCTAACAGACACATTGAAACTAATTTAAAGCTAGCAGTGACTAATATTTAACCAAATATTTCCAATATACAGGATGTCTGAGAAAGATCTTTATCATTCTAAACATGAATAATAAAAATACTAACAGGTGAAATGAAATGCAGTTTGCTACAAAAGAATGAAGACATCTAAGAGTTTTTTCTGGTATCAATTTCCTGAGGTAGATGGATTAATCGGTCGTGGAGGACCCATATCTTGGCCTCCGCAATTGCCCACCATAACTCCACTGGATTTCTTTTTTTTTTTTGGGTTATGTTAAAGACAGGGTTTATCAAACACCTGTTTCTGATATATTCATTTTAAAGGAAAGGGTACAGTAGCATGAACAATGGAGAGTCTGCTCGATTTTCTTCCATTTTAACTTTTGTGGTGTAATATTGAGGATTGCTAATTGTATCCTTTCCTTTAAAATGGATATATCAGAAACAGGTGTTTGGTAAACCCTGTCTTTAACATAACAAAAAAAAAAAAAAAAATGCAGTGGAGTTATGTCGACCAATTAATCCATCTACCTCAGGCAATTGATACCAGAAAAAACTCTTAGATGTCTTCATTCTTTTGTAGCAAACTGCATTTCATTTCACCTGTTAGTATTTTTATTATTCATGAATGATAAAGATCTTTCTCGGACACCCTGTATTACGTTTACATCAGTTTCAGAAGTTAAATTAAGTATACCTATGCTAATTTATAATTATACATGAATAAATACAGTAGATCCCCTATAACACTGTTGATAATTCCATGTTATATGAATTCCATGTTGTACGAGTCACTTAGATTTTACAAATACGTGTGCCGGGCTGTGAACGGCTCACATATTTGTAAAATCTGACTTGTACAACATGGAATTCATGTAACATGGAATTATCAACAGTGTTATAGGGGGGTCTACTGTAATTGTGATTTACTGACATTTTTTTTCCTCTTTTCTCTTTTATGAGCCCATGCCAGTTCAAAAGTTTTGAAATGTGGCCCTTACATAGAAAAGGGTTGCCCATCTCTGCTTTAACTGACGCTGGCTTTGATGTCCCTAAATTTTTGTACCCTAGGCAACTGTCTAGTGTATCTATAGATCATTCCAGCCTTGTCTGTGGTATATAAAGTTTATTATTCTGCTTTTACAATTTTTCCCAAAACCATAAAGATGTATTTGCATATCTTGTCTTTAGTTCTCTCCCATTCATTTATTTTAATAATATCAATTAGATCAGCATTTTTCAACCTTTCTGAGGCCATAAAACTCCTCATATACTTTTTATTTCACAGAGAATTAGCACCAATATATTCAAAAATTAATAGGCAATTCTTTTGTTTGCTATTTTCACAAAACAATAAACTTTATACAACCTCACCATAAAATGGAACTGTAATATTTGCAAATCATACCTAAATTCAAAATTTCCAGCAAATAAAAGTCAAAAACACATATCGAATGTTTTCAATATGTATGTGGGGGCCGAGGGGGGGAGAAATAAAAAACTCAATGAACGATAATAGGCGATATATATCGTCATCGTCTCCCTTGTCGTTTGGACTGCTGAGCGGTAACAATCAACATGTGGAAGCAGTTGAGTCGAGATAGATGCTTCGTTTACAAGCAACACAACCCGTTTATTAAACCTGAAAGAAGCTTACAATATTTCTGCAATCTTGGAAGTTCTGCGGCGGCTGCGGCCTCTGGGTCTTCCTCTCCTTTCCAAGATAGTCCCATTTTGAAGGAGTGTCCCTTGTTCGCGAATGAACCATTCCATCATGTCTCAAAGACTCCGGGATGATGCAGTCGACTTCCGTTGATGGAAAGATGTCGATCCGAGGTCGGGAGATGGAAACGAAGATGGGTGCGAGACACACACACAACAACAGGTCCGTCACTTGAAACTTTCGGGAGAAGAAGCCACCGCGTCCTTGAATTTCTGGGGTTTTATCCGTTTTCTCTCAGATTCCCCTTTCCGATTGGTCTCTCCTCGTCACCTGATGACAATTCGAAACCTTTTGGGACACGGAAGAGGTCAAAATCGAAGTTTAATTCAATCTCCAACCGGAAATGGTCGACAGACTTACATTCTTCTATTATTTAAAAGTTAGCGTTGCATTTTCATAAAATAAAAATCTATTTCTAACTACTATATATTTTTTCTCTAAAACAATTATTTTAACGCAAATTTTAGTGAGGGTTTGGACCTGTCCAGAGCCTCACATGTATTTAGTGGCCGAAAACGTTCAATATGTGTTTTTGACTTTTATTTGCTGGAAATTTTGAATTTAGGTATGATTTGCGAACAATAAACTTTATTGTATTGAATAAAATAATCATGGATCTATGAATAAAGTAATAGGTTGTAGCACATTAAATAAATTTGCAATAAGAACTTTGAAATCTTTCTTTTTCCATGGAATACTTGGGGGGGAGTCAAGTTTCAAGAACACAGGTTGAGAATCACTGAATTAGAAGGTTGTGTTACAAGTGCAAACAACATGAATTGATCTTGAAATCTGATAAATTTCTGGTAATTATTCCACTGTTTATATAATGACATCATTCCAGAAAACTTTGATGGTTAAAAACACGACACAATAATTTCATTCTAATAAGCTATAAATTCCTTGCTTTCTTTATCATTGTAAAGTAAATTTTGATGACTAAAGATAATTATATACATTTAAATTAATAAAACTTTGCACAATCAAGATAGGGCTGTTTTGTTTATATACATGTAGTATTGCTTTCTTCTATTTTGCTAAATATGGCATCTTTACCGTTTTAGTTTATTTACTTAATTTTTTTATTCTATATTGTAGAAATTCATTTTATATTACTTAAAGTGATATTTACATAAAATCTAATAACTGACTTATTTAAGTATTGTCTAAAAGACAATACTTAAATAAATTTCTGCATAACATTTTCTAATAGTAATTGGATGAATAAAACAGAATTTCAGTATTCTATTGAACAGTCTGACCATTACAATCATTAAATCTTTATCATGTAAGAAAGTATATCTTAGGTTTGAGGAAATTGACTGCCTAGGAACAAAATTTTCTTTATCATATTTTGCTTTATTTTTATTTTATTAAAATCAAATAATAATAAAAAATAATAAAATTGTTAAAATATATAAATACAAAAATTGTAATAGAAAATAATTTTAATTCTTTAATTTTAAATTTAGACATTCCTGTTTCTTCTTTTTATCAGCAATTTGCATTCTGTATGGATCTATTCCATTGGCAATGATGTCTTTGTCTTTTCCAGAGAATGTTTCATTCAAATCTTAATTGCATTTTAACACACTGAATTTCTCCACTAGCAAAAAAAATTCACCACTAATTGGAATGACAAATTGAGAGAGATTTAAATATGGAAACTACAAAAAATACTTTTTAATTACATTCTTTTAATTATTATCAACCCAAAAACAATAATATAAGGGATGATGACAAGGAGACTTCAGTTATTTAATAAAAAATAAATTTTCTATGTTTGAAATGAGACAAGGATAACAATTGTAACTATTTTTAAGTGGTAATTAAAGTAATTTATATATTATTTTAATTAACTATGTATAAATTATTTTAATCAACTACCACTTAAAAGAAAAATAGTTACAATTATTATTGTTGTAAAAATTATTTTAGCAGTTTTAAAGTTTGGATATGAACAAATATGAATCCAATTAATCTATTACTATGTTACCAATGTATTTGTATTGAGTGCTCAGAATAGTAACATTTGATAAGAAAAAAAATGAAAATGTAAATAAGTGAAATATCAACTGTGCAGTCCATTACTGTAAAGAATCCATAGTAGTTCTTTGTTCATTTTTGTTTTCTTCCATTTCTCTTTATTTTTGATGTTTCAATCATCAAATTCACTAGTAGAAATTTTGATAAATAATGGATGAAGTACAAAACAATTACTGTTATCAGCTGCAATCTTGTTTTGTAAAACAGCAGTGAGAATAAAATTTGCTATGCTAAAATAAATCTTTTTTACATATTCATTTGAACTATATTTACAGTTCTCCACAGTGAATAAGAGCTAAGTAATTGGTTATCATGAATATTAAAATTATTTACTATTTAATTTTTAAGTTTATTTATACATGTATCACTATATATTTTATTATTATTTGATTTAGAAAAAAACAGAAATGAAGCAGTATAATAAAAAAAATTTCTCTCTCATTTCTTTACTGGAACTGCAAAGTATATGTTAACAATAACAAATGACCAAAATCATTTTTACTATACAAGTTTACCAAACTTACATAGTAAAAATGATTTTGGTCATTTGCATTTATTAAAAAAATTTTTTTGTTCCAAAGACATTTGTATCTTTTGCACATGAATCTTAAGAAGTTCCCTCCCAGTATTTTGTTTTATCATTTCACTTATTTTATAACTTCCTCTACAACAGAATGAAATAAAAAAAACATTTTAATGTTTGAGATTGTATCTTATATATTGCATACCATAGAAGTGTTATGCTTTCAATAGCTGCTATAGAGACATAGGGTATATAGTGAGGTGAGTTATGCAATGGTTTTATTTCCACTAGCCTACAGACGTAAGCCAGACACATTCGCCATGTTGAGAAATGAGAAAGATCAGGCCGAAATCGAAAAAACACCATGAAGAACTCCTGTTAAAGGATAAAAGATTCAACAGGGACCTCGTATATGTCAGATCTATAAAAAGGTCGCTCAGACAATGCCTCTGTTTTGTGCTCACAGAGTGAGCACAAAACAGACATTGAAAAAAAAAAACAATACCATCTTAGCGATATATTCCAACGAAAATAGCATTATCCCTAACCTACAACAAGCGACACCGATTCGACAAGCCCAACATATCAACCAACTATAAATCTGGAGAGGTTAGAAATTTTTAAAGTGGACTGCAAAGGCCTGTCAATCAATTTTAAAGAAGAAAAACAACTATCAAGAGCATGGCAGGCTATTTATGACGCAACGCTATAATAATTAGTGCAGGTGCACGTCATTTGGAGATTCGAATTTTGAAATTTTAAAAAATAAATTCCAAAGATAGAAGCATTAGAGACCCAAATGGTTAAAAATCGGAATCGCACTAGAAAAACTTGTAAAACACCTGAGGAAGACCCTAGAAGTGGGTCGAAAACGTTTGTGTTACATTTTTAAGTAGTAAATGCAAAGCTATACAAGGTTAGTATGACATATCTGTAATTATCACTTTGTTTACTGGATGGATTTGATTTATTTCCACTCTAGTAATTTTCTACAAGGTTATATGCTGCCATAAGTTATCCACTCAAAATTATTTTAAGATATATATATATATTATTATTATTATTATTATTATTGTGATGTTAAAAGAATTATAATAAAACTTACCCTTTTGGGCAATCAGGCAAACAATTACCACCATGCAAAACATATCCTTGTATGCAAGCTTGGCATTGTCCCATTTCATGACCAATACATTTTAAACAAGTTATATGACAAAGCTGACAATGATGATATTGATTAGCAAAGTAACCATCAGGACATTCACTAACACATTCTCCATTAAATAAATAATGACTGAAAATATAAATAATATTAAGTATTAATTCATTTCAAATTTTGAAATATTTCAATCACTTTATAATAGTATAAAATATGTAACAGTAATCATGTAAATTATGTAATGGTTTTTAATTAAATGAGACAATGGTTCCTTATCTTTAAGTGACAACTTGTAGATTAAAACTATGAAATTAATGAAATTAAAATTTTAAATAATTAATTTTTTAAACTTCATTCTCTTATATTTCATTTACATTCATTTGTTGACAGTTATATATATTAATATATTATTGTTGGTACAAATTACTAATACTTATACATATGTAAACAAGCAGTTCTTAATAAGTCATGTCTATATAATCTGTAAAACTAGAAGAAACAGCTGCTGCTTTCTCTAAGTTTTATAACATAAATACAGGTAATCCCCGTATAAGACGGCACTTCTATAGCACAGATTCACTCTAGCATGGTTCGAGAATTGGGAACATCCCCATATAGCACGGGTTCACTCTAACATAATTCGGGAATTGAATAAAACCCTCGTACAACATGAAATGTAATAAAGGGTGCATTCTTTATACCTCCGTGTAACTCCATGCAAGCATTCAAATTGTTTTCGTGACTACTTTGAATGCTCTTTCAACAAATAATCCATATAATGGTTAAATTTTACAATTGGGACCCTTCTTTTGCCTCTAAAAGCTCATTTTAAAATTATAGATCCCTCCATCACGATACTATCGATAGTGCAGGCATCACCATCTTTCTTTCACCGTCGTACGTAAATGCCTACAAACAGCAGCACACTCCCGTTGCAGAGCAACCGCTATTAACGAACACACCTACAAACTGTTATCAGTTGATGATGCTCATGCTGAGATCATCATATAGGATGAGTAATCCTCTGGTAAAATATTTATTTAAATAATAAATAAGTATTTTACCTATGAAAAAATGAATANCATCCAGACTCCTTTGATATAAGGATGAAAGGGGACAGAATTGCACTATTCATTTCCACAATAATCAGTTGGAAAAGCTTTGACAACATAGAATATAAATTCCCAAACTGTTAATTATCACCACTATTTTAATATCAAAATAGTCTGTATAAAATATTACTTATTTCTCATAATTAGAAAATATTTATTCAATTTTTGGAACTCTATCAAAAGTAATCTGAAAATCTAATATATACAGTGGAACTTGGTTAACTTGAACCAGGATAACTCAAAGTTGAATTTACTCAAAGTCATTTTCTTTCCCCAATCATTTAGCATAGGGATTTACATGTTAAATCAAACTGGTTAACTCAAATGGGATTTTGATACAGTATTTTCATAAACTCTCTGGAATTTTAATTTAAAAATAATAGCATTCATCTATTAATTAAACTAGAAACTTTATAGAAAGTGCAGGAACCATGTATGACTAAAAGTAAACATTATGTCATATGATGGTAGACAGGGGATGGTGGCTTCCAGACAGCACTTGTGACTGACATAATGTAATTGCCATTCAAACCTATTTTTTCAAACTTTGTTTTGTTTTATTTAATTGCTGATGGATTTTTCTGACTAGCTATTGTAATAGATAAATGGATTTTGGATAAATGAATTTTAAAAAATGATTATAGTCCAATTCTATGCAAAAATTTTAACCTCTGTGGCAAGATTTTAAAAATATAATGGTTGTAAAGAGCAGTATATTTGCAATAAAAATAAAACAGATCAATTCTAGGCAGAAAATATCGCAATTTAAAAAAAAATCCGTACTAAAAAAAGCATTTCTCAGTAGCTTATTTAACCATTCAGTTATGCATTTGAGTTTCTGGACAACACTGAGAGGTTTATGTTGACAGTCATTCTACATAATAAGACCCATGGAAATATCATATGAATACTGTATTACAGGTCACCAATAAACAATGCATAAATTTTTTTTTTGTTTTTTGAACACTATATAGTGTAAATACACGAACACTTGGCAATCTTCACCAAACTGAATAAACTTAAGGTGAAGATTGTCAAGTGTTTGTGTATTTACACTGTATAGTGTTCAAAAGACAAAATAATCACCAACACAGTTTCAAGAGTGTAAAATGCATGAAATCTTGATTTTTAGTTGAACCTCCATAACTTGAAACTTTTTAACTTGAAGTCTAAATTTTTTCCCTAACCAATTCAAGTTAACCAGTATTCCATTGTAGTATATTTTAATATAAATTTAACTTTTCAAAATTTACATATAACTAAAAATAAATAATTGTATTCTTATAAAATTAGGGCTAAATATTAGATAAAACTATTATGCATTGATATATATGTCATAAACAATTGATAATACCTGGGAAAATCACAATCAGTACAATCATTTCTCCTAGGTCCATTGCATTCTTTACAAGTTTTGCTGCATTTATAGCCTGTTACACAAGATTCACCTAAAAAATGATCACAATTAAATTTAAAATAATTTAGAAATCTATAAATATTTTCATTTGTATTTAAAGAATTAAAACAATAACTTCCTACATATTAATAAATAAAAACCATATAACTAAACCATAATATACAGGATGAGTCAGAAGTTCTTTACATATATTTCATTCCAAAAGTAGTGAAGATATATCAATTTTGTTAACATAGTTTATATAGGAGATTATAAATGGAAATTGGATATGATGTTTTGTTGACCATGAAAATCATTTACAAGGTCAACAGTAAAGATAGATATTGATATTGGTAAAAATGAAAAATAATTATACATTCTGTTTCATTAAATTTTTTATAATTTTTAAATGTTATCTAACAAATATATAATCATCAAATGTAACTTACCTGCTTTACATGCTTTTTCAAAAATGCAATAACCATTTTGTAGTTTCCAATCTTTATCACACAAATAGCATTTTTCTTGGTTACAATTTTTGCATCCAATATCACATCTGCAAAATATATAAATTCAATAATTAAATGAATTTGGTTCTAAGAAAAAACATTTTATTATTAATTTAATCAAAGCAATGTTCAAGTTCTTTCTCTTCTCTATTCATTTACAGATAAGAATATTGTTCATTATACAATTAATAATTTTAATTAAGCACGAAATCATATTAAATCCAATATTCCCAATAACATCAATAAATTCTTTCTATACTCACTCATTTATAACATGGATATATCTAAAATGATACAGAATTTTAAGACTACTTTTTGTAAATTTAAGATCAATTTCACAATATTTAAATTACAATTTAAGAAAAACATTAACGCTATTTATTCTGAATGTAAAGTGTATAATAAAATATTGTTGATAGTTCAAAAAAGGTTATGAAAATTATTTTATAAATGTGAATGGTATCCAAAATTGATGCACTAACATATCATAGTTTTTTCCACATTTTTTGCAACATTTTCAATTAGTTATATATTGTATAATTTAGTGTGTCTTTTATATAAAAACACTGCTATGCGATTACAATATTCCATGACATCAATAAGCATATATAATTTATATCTATTCTATATATATAAAATACTTAGATAAAATCATCAAGACATTTTTTCCCATAGAAACAGCGACACCAGGAATCAATGAATTGTCACAAAATTTTTGTAATGAATAGTCTATAAGGGAACAAATGGGCAAAGTCTGTAGGGAAAGTGAGTGAAACAAATCATGTAACTTATGAAATTGGAATGTTTTTCTATGATATATTCAAAAACATGTGCTATTTTTTGAATTTTTGATTAAATTTGTTCTGGCATCTAAAGGTTGTTCAATGTTCAATTTTAATGGAGAAAATCTGATAAAGGTTTTTAAGTAAAAACTAAAAAGGTTTTTAAGTAAAAACTGTATTTTTTTTCCTATTAATTTGTGTGGAAGTGCATTTTGAAATGGAACCAAACATAGTTTGTTACAGAATCCTCATTCAGAATTAGATAGATGAACAGTACATATTATTGAAATTTTTGTTTCAAGAGAGAGAAAATAGTCTATATTAGGAACAAGTGGAAAGTTGGGCTGCCATAGATGGCCAGGGCAAATCTCCCTAGCTAACATTGTAAAATAATAAAGATAAAAATATTCCAGATAAGATCAATACATTCTTTGCATGTACTTAAGATATTTTGCATAAAATTTTTGTAGTATTTTAATTTACAGTCAAACAATGGTTTATATAAACAGAGCGGCATATTTCAAATCAAATAAGCTGACAAAAAGATAACTTTATATTATTACAAGAAAATATTTCATATATGTGTCTAAAGTTTTAATAAATTCAAATCTCACATGATCTTTTCTATTATGCAATAAATTTAATATTCAATTAATATTGAAAGAAAAGAAATAAAATATAGTTTATCCTTATTTGAAGTTATGAGGAATATAAAGCATCATTTCCAGTTTTCCACCAATCACAAAGATTTGAAAGATTTTATTTCATTTATATGGTTTTATAAAAATTATATCAGCAATATACATCTGAGGAGAGTCACACAAATGGCCAAATCATGTAATATAAAAGAGTAGATGAAATAAAATTGTGTTCCAATAAAATCTTGCAAGTCTTTGCAATTGGTAGAAAACAAACAGTGACGCTATTGTATTCATCACAAGTTAAAATAATGATATTACAAGTTACCATCATCCATACTGAATGTTAATACAGTCAAACTTCGATTTTTGAACTTAATTTGTTCCTAAAAGTTGTTTGACAACAGACTTGTTGTAAAATGGAAACAAATTTTTTCATAAGAGACAATATAAAATGGACTAAACTATTTTAGCCTTTTTTTTCATCTTTTTAGCTATATACGCATAAAAATGCCTGCAAATGAATATGATATTATATATATATTAAAAGCAAAATGTTTCATCACTGCCAAAACCTAAACTAACACTTTACAAAGAAGTGCTATAAATAGAGACTCATATTTTACCAGGCAGTCAAAGTTAACTAAATCAATCAAGATGACAAGTATTTTATCCACATTTTCCAAAATAATATGTTTCAACTGATTTGATTTCGATTTNGTATCTTATATATTGCATACCATAGAAGTGTTATGCTTTCAATAGCTGCTATAGAGACATAGGGTATATAGTGAGGTGAGTTATGCAATGGTTTTATTTCCACTAGCCTACAGACGTAAGCCAGACACATTCGCCATGTTGAGAAATGAGAAAGATCAGGCCGAAATCGAAAAAACACCATGAAGAACTCCTGTTAAAGGATAAAAGATTCAACAGGGACCTCGTATATGTCAGATCTATAAAAAGGTCGCTCAGACAATGCCTCTGTTTTGTGCTCACAGAGTGAGCACAAAACAGACATTGAAAAAAAAAAACAATACCATCTTAGCGATATATTCCAACGAAAATAGCATTATCCCTAACCTACAACAAGCGACACCGATTCGACAAGCCCAACATATCAACCAACTATAAATCTGGAGAGGTTAGAAATTTTTAAAGTGGACTGCAAAGGCCTGTCAATCAATTTTAAAGAAGAAAAACAACTATCAAGAGCATGGCAGGCTATTTATGACGCAACGCTATAATAATTAGTGCAGGTGCACGTCATTTGGAGATTCGAATTTTGAAATTTTAAAAAATAAATTCCAAAGATAGAAGCATTAGAGACCCAAATGGTTAAAAATCGGAATCGCACTAGAAAAACTTGTAAAACACCTGAGGAAGACCCTAGAAGTGGGTCGAAAACGTTTGTGTTACATTTTTAAGTAGTAAATGCAAAGCTATACAAGGTTAGTATGACATATCTGTAATTATCACTTTGTTTACTGGATGGATTTGATTTATTTCCACTCTAGTAATTTTCTACAAGGTTATATGCTGCCATAAGTTATCCACTCAAAATTATTTTAAGATATATATATATATTATTATTATTATTGTGATGTTAAAAGAATTATAATAAAACTTACCCTTTTGGGCAATCAGGNAAGATTAAATATCTTTGTCAGAGATGAGAAACATTTTTATTTTCCCAGCTCTGTTATATATAACAGAAGGAAAGTATGGCGATCAGTCAAAAAATGATGCCCCAAGATTTTTACATTTTTGGACTTGGGAGCCCTTGAAATGTTGAGCAATGCAAAAAAATTCAGGTTTTTTTTTTCTATTTGTATGAATGCTAGTCTGAGTATGGGGGAAATGATTTTGTTCACCCTCTGAAGCTTAATAATTCCTGTGCTTTTTGTTGAATATTTCTGAAATCTTGCAGGAGGTTTTGTATTAAGAGGATTAATGCTATTAAATTTTGATGGTTAAACATTGAGGAGGTGGGGAGATAAAAGAGGTGATATGTCATATCTCTAGTAGGATCAGACATAATGATGATTTTCCTTGTTATTATCAATTACAATATTTTATAAAATCCATTCCTACCCTCAAAATTAAGCTTTTTTCCATTTTATAATAATTAAATATATATATATATAGAATTTTTAATAATAAAATATCATAACAGATGGCATTACACATCAGTTTTAAATGTTTCTGGGGAAAGTTAAGCAACTAGTTGCTGGATTTTTTAATTGGAAGACCATATCTTATTTAGAGAAATTTCATGTAATCTGCAATATATGAATCCTTATAATACATTTGTCATTTTTTCCAATAAAGACTTCTATTTTTCAGTTAGCAAAAATGGAAAGAAAATAGATATCCAAAAACTTATAATATAGAAATAACATTATAGTATTTTTGTGGTACTTCTTCAGAGAAATCTAAAATGATATTTGCAAATGCAAACCATGCTTAATGCATGTTTTGATTTCTCCAACAAACTTTACAATGTAAGGAAGTTTCATACTACAAACCATAGAAATCTTCTGATGAAACTCTATATACCAATGGAACAAAAATTTTTTAAGACATGATGCAGTGTATGCTACACAAAGAAAGCTGATAGACTCCAAACAAGTAAATAAAAAACAGTGGTACAATTACAAGCAAGATTTACAATCAATCAAAATAAATGTGTATCAATCATAAATTTCATTTACAATAAAAACTGTATGAAATATTTTTGAAAAAATTTTACACCTAAAACTGCACAAATTGTAAATTTTTCAAGCTATCCATAAAACAGATAAGGAATAGCATTACATATTTTATGCTGAAATGTTATATTACATTGATATGAATTAAAACTTTCTTAAATGTTAAATTTCCAATGACAAATAGACATTTCACTTGTGAGAAAAATGAATTAGTACAAGTTGATTTAGGAAAGCACACATCATCTTACACACACAGCATATCCATGGAAATCTTAAAAGTCAATTTTATTTTTTGTATTGTGATTTTGAAAAAAATATACAGGTTACATGTATGCTCCAGATAGTCAGGATATGCTCCAGAAGTAACTCATTTCCATATCATGATAGAAAAAAATTTTTCTTGTTTCAATCAACAGTATGGTGCTCCACCATACTATCACAAATGTACAATGTTCTTTTGGCATTTTTCAGACTATTGACTTTGTGAGTGGCACAATTGCATGGCTATTTCACTTCCAAGATCTTACCTTGATAAACCTCTACCTGTTCTATTCATCAAAGACAAGAGTATCCCATTCTAACTACTGCTAAATTAACTATCAAAATCACAAATATTGTTGCAGTTGTAAAGTTCAGACTATAAGAATGGCATGGAAAGAAATTTATTACTGATGAGATTATACTGCACAATGAGAAATCTTATTCAAATCACATAACTATTACTAGTATACAATTTTATATAATATTTTATATACTTTAACATGTTACATGATTTATACTAATCAATTCAATAAATTGCTGTTCATGAAATTACTTTAGATTTAATTTTGTATGTGTGTGTATGTATTCTTGAATTAATATTTATTTGTCTTTTATCAAATGATTTATTGAATATTGACTAACTATGCCAAATATGACATTAATGAATTATTTTGTTACATTTTAATTAGAGCTCCTCCTGTTTTATATTTTTTAATCAATCTACTCCAACTATATATTTTAAATTTATCATTTTATCAATATTTTTTAATAATTGCTTCAAATATTTTAATATAAATTCATATTATGTATCAGTAATTTTTAAAATTAAAACAGTGGAAAAATACCTGTGTTCTGAATCATGATAAGTATGTTCTGGACATTCTGGGACACAATGATTTTCAAATAAATATAATCCAATTTTACAACTCAGACAATACGAAGGATTATTTTCACATAACATACATTGACTAATGCAAGGCAAACACTCATTTGTCTCCTCATCTGTTAAAAAAAATATATATATACAGGTAATAATAATAGCATTTTCTATTAAAGAATAAATGCCAAATTTTAAAAAATGTTTTAAATAAAAAAAAATTAAGCAATTTTTTATTAGTTTTTATCCATATTATTTTTATAAAAAGATTTATTACAAATATTATTCCATTATAAGTTTTAAATTTTCTTTTAAAAATTAAGAAAATTATTAGAATTAAATGTAAAACTAATTAAACATTTTAATACACTATGTATTTTTATTTATTACAGAAATTCAAAAATTATTTGAAAATTTTCATAAAAATATTTAAATCATCTTTTATTATATGTGAAATAATTATGATAATGATTAATAATTAGACACTATAGATGAATTTTTCATAAATCCACATCTAACTGATTTTAAAAAAGGCCCAAAATTAAAATTGGCTGAGCAGTGTTTCCCAACCCACATACCATGATACACAAGTGTGATGGCCAAATGGCCAAGCAGTCTAGGTGGCAGCCTACCACTCTGGGGGACCTGAGTTCGAATCCTAACAAGTCAAAAAATCTCCAGGAATTTTTCAGGGGGTGGTCCATCCAGATATATTGGCCTCATCCCTCACCATCCGACTGCCCCACTGTCCCACTGTGGATCTGGCTGAACCCACAATGGGCTTGCTTAAAGAAGCCCTCTTAGGGCCCACAGGGCAGAAAGGGTTAAAAAAAAAATACACAAATGTGTCACAAGAGTGCCTCAGGTGTGTCGTGGAAATATTAACGTATTTTTTAACATTTTGAATAAGATTTTTTTAAAAATTTCATTTATCTTTCATGTTTCTACTACAGGCCAACCAAAGCGAGAAACAGATATTCATTAAAATGCCAATTGTTGTAAAAATTTACATCATCAGCATACCATCCTTACAAAAGTTTCATTGATCAATGTGTATGCTGGTATGCCAACTCTTTGGAACGCTTATCTGTAAATATTGTGGCTTACCAGCTTAAAGACCAATAATTACTCTTTATGCATTCATTCAAATAGTCTTTTTATTTTTATAGTATATTTATAAACTTATAAATTTTTGTCTTGGTAAGTTTAACTTCCATATTATCAAAATTTTTCAAATCAATCATAAAAATTATGGTCTGTCACAGGAATCTTATTAAATTCAAAGTAAAAATTCTAATAATATTGTCAATATAAAGTGAAGTAAAAGCACAAAACTAGAAATATTATGAATTCATTATTATTATTATTATTCAATATCTATAATAAATAATTTTCAATTTATTTAATTCTGACTGATTAATAAATAATTTTGAGTTGTTCAAATCAACTAAAAAATATAATATTGATGTTTTGTAGATATTTAAAAGTATAGAGCATCATAACCTCAAAATATACAAAATTTAGTTTCAAAATCATACAATTTCATGTAATTATAGAATAATTAAATTATTAACAATAAATAGAATCAATAAAAAACTTAAAATCTAAACGTTTAGATTAACAAAATTATTATAACATAAGGCCTATGGATACTACACACCTTTTGAAAAATTAAAAATTTGTATTAGAAAGGTATTTTGTTTGGTATTGTAAATTTCAAAAAAATATGAAAATTAAATTTTATAAAATCCAGAATTTTCTATATTAAAATAAAAAAAATTATTTACTTTGCATGGAAATTTAATAATGAAAATACTTATGGATTGTTTACATAAAATATGGTCTTTTATTAACTATTTCATTGAAAAAATGAATATGTACTTCTGAAAGAAAATACACATTGATAATATTGCAAAAATGAATAATTAAAATATCTTCAATACATTGAAAAATAAATATGTATTAAAATAAATCTAATAGAATAATTTTAAGAAATGATGTTTTGTCAAGAACAAAAATGGCAAAGTTAATAATATTTTACCTGATTAAATAAAATTAATCAGTCTCTATTTCAAAAATAGAAAAGGAAAAACTCAATGTCTTTGTATAATCCTTATCTCACCACAAAGAACAATAAAGTCACGTAGCAGAGCCAATGTTTATTTGGGAGTTCTTCTCTGCCTCAATATGCAAAATATTGTTTGAAATGTCTCTTTGGTGGCAGCACCATTATAAAATTAAAATTAATTAAAAATAAAACCACATGAAAAACTAAGGCAGAAAACAGCCTTCAAAACCAGATCAACTCATCTCATTATTGTTCCTGTAGTATTGTAGAGATGAAAAAGTAAACATAAAAATTTTTTACTGTTGTTTCTAATTATTTTTAAAGTGACTTTTTCATCCATGGTTTTATTTTTATAAACCTGTTTTTAGATTTTTCAGGAATCAAAATAAATTTTTATTCAGAAACATTTCCATTCTTTTGAAAGAGTATCATATTTTTTATAAAACATTTAATCTTATTTTCTTCAAATCTTGAAGAAATCAAAAATAACAAATAAAATTTGATATATTTTATTCAAGAAAAAAAATTAAAATTTCAAATACAATAATATTATATATTAATTATTGAAAAAAATTATTATAACGATCAATAAATTGCATTTTTTTTCAAAATAGTAATATAAATTCATGAATATAAGAATGGACAACTAAGTTTCAACATTATAATTAAAACAAATTTTTAAAATTTGCTAACATAAACAATTAAAAAGTTTCAAAGTATTCCCTCCTAATTTGGTACATTTTATATAATTTATCTTCTATTGCTTGAAAGAGCTAATGATTATTTTCACATCATCTACAGAATGTCTTCTTTTCAGGTAATTTTTTTAATTTTTGAAAACACAACACATAAAGTCTTGTATCCTATCATTATAAATGAATTAAAAATTGTCTTCTGATTCATTCACAAAATTTTTTAAGATCGATTGCAGGATGGATGAAAACTTATCAAGGTAAGGATTTGTTTCTTAACATTCTCACCAATTTTCTTGATAATTGGTGTCCCGCATCATTCATAATTTTTTATTACTTCACTTCCTTCATGAAACCTGTTCTGCCATTTTATAATGATAGTTTTAGATATGGAAGACTCAATATATTATTGTCTTACTCAATTTATCAGAAAATTTTATTTGGTCTTTGGTCAATCATTTTTTCACTTTAAAAAATTTAAAAACATGCAAATTCAAAAGAATGTTTTTCCCTTATAATAAATATAGTCTTGATTGTGTAGTCTATGTCACAGTTGGCATATCAGTATTACCAACTCAACTAACAAGAAATAAAAAATTGATCTTGAAATTTAACTCTCTAAACTTATAAATGAAAAGTGCTATTTAATTTGAATGATATTGTAGCATTAACTCTGCTGCTTTTATTTTTAAAATTTCAATCATAAATATAATTATTTTACTATAATTAACCTACACATGTTTAATAGTCATTATTAAATATTTAATTATTTTAATGAAAAAAATGAACTATTAATTGTTTTTACTAATCAGGTGAATCAATTATAAAATTATTTTATAGAAATAATTATTAATACTAAATACTATTATAAATACAAAATACTAATAAATACCTTTGTAATAACCATCAGAGCAGTCTTGCACACAGAAATCTTCCTGAAGGTAATATGATTTTATACAAGATAAACAATTATCAGAATTTGGACCAAAGCAATTTAAACATGAAAAGTTGCAAGGAGAACAAATATTATATGTTTTATTTTCAAATTTACCATCACGACATTCTTCTACACATTTTCTATTAAAAAAATTAAATGTAATTCGTAAATTGAAATATTTAAAAATTGCTATAATTTCTTGCATATAATCTGTCATAAAATACTTTTTTTAATTTTTATTTATTTTACTGTATTATATTATTATTCTTTATTTTTATGTTTATTCTTTTACATTATATTACTGTAACAAATTTGTTAATCTTTTATTTTATAAAATGGATGATGTTTACTTTTCAAAAACCAATGCAATTTCACTGTTCCAAATATTCCCATTGATAATTGGAAATAGCGGAGAAAAAAGCAAACAAATGCTAAACATAGCAGACAGACAAACAGCGCCCTCAAAAAGCTAATTGTCCTCATAAAAAGTGGACAGTTGAGAGCTCCAATATAAATACATAACTACATATTAATCAGTATTGTTATATGGGTTTGATTTTTATAGGTCTGGAAGCAAAAGTTAAATAGAGATCTTGTTATTGCAACTGATAATTATATCTACAAAGATACGGGAAAGATACAGGTTCAAGTCTCAATTCAGATTGATCTTTTCTTCCAGAAACTTTCAAATTATTTAATTTAATTATAAATTAACATGAGATGGTTGCCTAACAGCTTATCTTTAAGCTAAATAATAAATTAGTACACCCATTATAGCTCCAAGCAGGATTTAATATAATATATTTAAATAACTTTTATTTTAACTTAAAACTTCCATTATTTTAAGAAAAATTTATTTATTTTGAAATTTGAAAATAAAGCATGCATTAATTGCTTATAATGGATTTGTTAGACAGAGTTTGTTTGACAGAGTTGTTAAAAATTAACTTAGAGGGTTCTGTAGCATGTTCTAAGGCTCCAAATAGAATGAAATTTAAACAGCAGGTACTTCAAACAATATTCTCATCATTTATTGAAAGAAAATTAGTACAAAAATTTGATGATAGGTGGTGCTGTAACAACAGCTTTATGTAAATTGTCTAATGTTGACTACTTAGCTCTCTAAAAGAAATCGGAATGTAAGCTCTTTCAATAAAAACAATCCACTAAACAAAGTGTTAATTATAAATGGAACATACCAACCTTAATGTGCTTTGCATGTAGTTTTGAAAGTTATCATGTTACTAACATTTTCAGTCTCGTCTAACACCTTCTTTAAAATGATTCCTTTTGGCATATAATGTCTTAGCTATATATGCCAGTGAGAATGGGATTACATCAGACTACAACAGGCTACCCTAATACGACAAATCTGCCATATAAATCAACTTAGAAATTTGGAGGAATTGGAGATTTTTTATAGCAGACTGCTAGGGCCTTTCAATTAATTTTAAAGATAAAAAACAAATCTCAAAGGCATGGAAAGTTATGTATGACCCAGCACTATAATAAACGATGCATGTGCACATGTTTAAAAATTCATAAAATGAAAATGTTCAAAATTCAAATACATTGAAGCCAAATGAAAAATACACCACCACCAGCACCAGAAGGAATTGTTTTACAAGATATGTCTGAAGAAGGTCCTAGATGTGAACTGAAAATGTTAGTAATGTGATAACTTTCAAAACTACATGCAAAGCACAATAAAGTTGGTACATTTTGTTTTGTAATCCCGTCAAAAGCATTGGTGCTTACCTCCACTTCATGAGCAATGCTAATGTTGCAAAAAAAGTACTGTTAGGTCAAATTGTTCTATCAGAACAATAACAATGCAATTGTGGCTCTTAGAAAATTCAGGCATCAGAAGCTCATAAGGCATGGACCAATATTTGCTCATGCTGTTCACAAAACGATTGATAAATTTGAAATAACAGGACATCTTCACATTCTACCATGTAGAGATCAAAAACAAGCAGACCCTCCTGGGTTGAAGATATGGCTATGGCTGTTATGGATTTGTCTAATCAATCTCCATGTGGTTGTGTAAGTTTACCAGCCATTGCCCATGAGGTGAACATGCCATATGACACTTAAGACTAGTGCAGTATCAAATGTTGTGATACTATCTTTACAGGATAGAGAATCTTCAGCAAATTTCTACAGATTGCAGTTGCAATCTGTAGAAATTTGTGTAAAATTTGTGCTTCATTTCAATGTGAGGATTTCAATTGCTATCCCATGGCCGTGGAACATTCTTTGGACTGATGCCCATAACTGTTACATTTTGGCATTAGAAAATCCTCAAATTATTCCAGACAGCTCATTGCATTCTTCAATGGTGACTGTGTGCTGTAGATTTATGGCTCTGTTCATTGGTAGGCCATAATATTTTGAAGAGGTTACTCAAACTGGCCCTATACCTATTCCTGTAACTGGACAGCAGTATCATGATAAGTTGGAGAATTTTGTAATACCAGAGCTTCAACAATGCAGGTACATTCAAGAAATCATATTCATGCAAGATTGTGCATCGCACCACATCATCCAGTCTTCAAAATTTATTAGGGCAGTATTTTACAGATGATGGATTATCAGCTGTTATTTCCATACAACCTATCCTCCTTGATCACCTGACCTCACTCACCTCATATGACTTATGGTTATAGGATTTTTTTTTATTGAAGAGCCAGGTGTATCTTGAAAGATGTCACTGTCAGAGAACAGCTGAAGGATTGCATTATATGTCATGTTCTGTCCATTCCAGCAGATGTCTTGCATTTTGCATTAGAACATACCATATTATAAATGAAAAATATTGTTGACAACAGTGGAGGCCATAATGAATATTTGTAAAGCTTTTCAAGTGATTTCTTTTGCTAAAGTGCCATTTATTAGAAATTTTTTGTACTATTTTTTTTCAATAAACGGTGAGCACATTATTTCAAGTATTTGATGTTTAAATTTCATTTTATTTGGAGCCTTAGAACATGCTATAGAACCCTCTAAGTAGAAGAACTTAAGTTTTAACAACTCTGTATTGCAAATTTCTAATCAATTTCTAATTCATTTCTAATCATTTGTAATCTCTGAATTATTATATAGATTATTAATTTTTACCCAGATTCTGGATCAAAAAACTTTTTTCCACTTTTTTCATCTTCAGTTTTACAAGGATTCTGAAAAGATTATAAAAACAACACTTAAACAACTTGTATTAGAAAATGTATAAAAATACTTAAGCAATTATATATATATATATATATTGATATATGCATATTTACAATATAAAGTATATTTTATAAAACTATAGGTTAAATGAAATAGTTTAATAACACCTGAAATTGTAGTATTCTTCTAATTATTGCCATTTACAATACTTCAACAACAGTATATAAATATAACAAATCTTAACATATTCAAATAATGACAATTCAAACATTTAAAAAATGTCTTAACATAAATGAAGTAATACTAAACTGATAAATGTTTTAAAACAATTTCAGAGAAATCAATAATTTCAAGTAAAACTGAAATTATGAATTGAATGGTAATAATATATGTCACAGATGAGAGATTTTAATTTTCAATCTACTATTATCAACAGAATAAATCTATTATAATAAACAATTTTCTTTATATTATCTATAGTAGCACATACAGAAAATTGCTAGAATTAAAATAAACATTATATAACCTAGAGGGACTGCAAAATATACTACATCTCACAGATTGCCACTGAAAACACATTGTCAGGTTAACTTGTATCAATCAGTTCGTTTTTTAAGAGATCTATATATACTTTCTTACATTGTATAATGTCCCCTGATAGATAGACAGATCCAGAAGTAGACAGATTCACTTATAAATTGTAGATCACCTGGATAACATAATTATAGATGGTTCAGACCAGAAAGAAGGGACAGTTGATAGAAGTATAAAAAATGATGGAAATGAATTTTATATTCATAATTTTTATGCAATCAGTTTTTCGTAATTTATAGTTAAAAATTGGCTTTTCACAGCTGCCATATAACTACAATCCCTGATCAAAAGTATGGAATAATGTTATAAATTCCTGCATCACAACATTTCAAAGGCAAGTTCTAAAAAAGATTTAATGTTTGCTTGTTGATTGCTTTTGCAAATTTTGAGATGATATATTTGCATAAATATGTGCTAAAATAAAATCAGTTTTATGCATTATAAAAGAAAATGTGATTCATTTACTAATCAAGTGTAGTGGTGTGGAGGACAAATAAAAGGATGACAAAGAAGTAACTATAAATTAAACAGGATTTTATTTTACTACGGTTACGTGGTCCTTCTTACACCTGGTTCATTTACACTAAACACGCTTGATCCCAAACTATAGTACGCACATAAGTTCGACGCCGTCCAACATATTCTTTATGCTTTCACAGGCAAGAGACACGTGTTCGCGACAATGAAAATTTATGGTTTGAGAGATATTACAACTAACTTAAATGACCTTAATCTAACTTATATACTAAGGAAGAAGGGTGAAGAAATTAAGAGATATGAAGAGAAGAGACAAGTATAAAGGACAGATTTGTGGGGGTACCCAGGTAAATTTGGCAGTCTCTGATCTTCTCTATATTGGAACTTGAGTCAATTTCCTTCCTCTCGTTTCTGTTTCTTGAGAATTCAAAGCGTTCTTGAAGCCTTAATCTGGGTGTCCTTCTAATTTGTCTGCTCACAGACAACTTCCAAGCCTTCTCCTTTTGTCCCACTAGGCGACAAACTTTGGCTTGTTCTTTCCTACGTCTGTTCACCTCGGACGCTGACCCAAAAGTGTCCTGTTCGTTTTTACTGATGGCCTCAGGGCTTCTTAGTATCCCCTTTGTCCTTGGACAAAGGTTGTCCCCACCCATAGAAAAAGAATAGGTTAGAAAGTTCTAGAAACAGACGTTAAAGACAAAGGAATTTAGGAAGAATAAAACTTATATCTACCCCTATGTACAAAGACATGGCGTACCACCACACAAGTGTGAAATCCGGAATTTTTGTCGACTATTTGTCGATCAATTGTCCTGTATTTGCTTAAAATCTAATTAAATTTTCCTTTAACTTAAAGTGGAACCTAACGGGAAAAAAAAAACTTTTCGTTTATGTTCGACATAAACATCCGTTCAATTCGAAACTAATCCCACATTCCAACGCTAAAGTTTATAGTTAGCATGGTCCCGGGAACAACTCTGACCCATCTGCATACCTTTTACCTCACAACAATTGGTCACATGACCATTCTCCCACGCCGAACTTATAAAAACCCCTTCCTTCCCCTTCTCCGGGGAGTCGTTCATTCGCCGTCACTTTTACAACTGTGTCCTAAGAATATTGTGTCCTATTTATATACTGTGTCCTATACGATATTGTGTCCGGAAGAAGAATTATTATCCTAATTCTACCACATCGTTGGATATCACAACCTTTTTCCTTAAGAATATTCAAAGACATAAAGAGGTATGGACCTTATTTTTGTGAACTCTCTCTCGGTCCTTCGCGGTTCAGGGATTCAGATTTTCCCTTTTGAAATTGGTTATTGTAATCTCTATGTAGCTAATAAATCGTTGTTATCCTGTTAAAGTGGTGTCATCTTTACTCGTATATCGCCGGTCATCTTACCGACGCACTCCTCCCTCCGCCACTCGACCCGAAACCTTTAATCCTGTTACGGCGGGGACGGGAAAAATTTTATCCATCCTGACCAGTGAGAAGGGTTTAACGACCTGTTGCCGGATCGGGAGACCTACATCCTCCCCGGCGGTTCACACAAGAGTAGAGACAAAAATATGGAATACTAACATAGCATGGACATAAGTTAAAATATGATGGACATGTTCCATATTAAAATTAATTTAGTAACACTATTATTGCATAATATCACACTTCAAAATTGAATCTGCAAAACTGTAATCATGCTTAATGTAATCATGCTTAATGTTTGCATTCTAAAACTGTGACAAAAACACCAGAATTGAGTAGTGCAAAGAAATAGTTGATAATTTCATATTACAAGCATGGTGAAAAGCAGAAGATAATTACAAAACACATACAATGTACACAAATTGCAGTATTTATAAAATTATAGCTAAATATAAAGCACAAGGAACTGTCTCCAATCAATGTAGATGTGGATGCACCCGCATCTATGGCACAAAAAGACAGAAATCTCATCAAAATTGTTAAAGGAGGAAGATTTAAGTCATCCAGAGAGATAAATGCTGAACGGAAAAAAGCTGGTACAGATGTATCTGAAAAACAACTCTCAGAAGGTTAAATGAATATGGCTACATATCAAGAAAAGCAAAGCAGAAACCATATCTAACTGAGAAGCATAAAAAAACTATCTGCACAGGAAAAAAGCTTACTAGAATTGGGATTTGATGAATTGGAAACAAGTTATATTCACCAACAAGTCATGTATTTGTATTGCATATGGAGATAACAATGGTAACAAAGTTTGGAGAAAACCCAATGAAAAGTTTCTATCAGAATGCCTTCTTTCAAAAACAAAATTTCCAAATGGAGTTATGGTCTGGGGTACCATAACTGCAGCAGGACCTGGATATTTGGAAATTGTTAACACTACAGTGAATGCACAGGTTTACTTGGAATTTTAGACAATTTTGTGCTAAAAACAGCAGAGGAACACTTTGGTGACTCTGACTTTATCTATAAAGATGACAATGCATCTTCCACCATACTAAAACAGTAGGCTAATGGTTCCTAAACAAAAATATTTTGCATTTATATTGGCCACCAAACAGCCCATATTTAAATTTAAAATCCAGCTTTATCAAACTGTTTTTTGCACAACTTTTTTGTCATACTAATTATTATCTTCATTTAACTATCTATATATCAAATTTTATATTATATCAAATTCATTGTAAACTTTAAGAAAATATTGTGCAGATATACAAAAAACAAACAAAGTGCAATCCCACTAATCCAAACTAATTATTGTATAGACTAATAAAATAGTTTCAGTTATTGCAGTTACATACAAACAATGAAATTCAAAAAGAGCTGTAGTAATAAATTGTTTATTGCTAATTATAAGAAGAAAGAATCTAGGAATCTAAACAATCTAGAATTTAATTTTCTCAATAAATAATTAGAAAAATATCTTAAGTGTAATATCTTAAGATATCAATCTTAAGATATTACACTTAAAACTTTATTACATATTAATTAAACAATAAAAAATAACAATTGATATAAAAATAAAACCATTGAAAAGTCATCATCTTTTATACATTTCTATTAAAATAGCAATTGTGAAATACTGTGACAGTCAACTGTCATGAATTATATGTAAATATACTTATAGTTAATTGCTTATACACTGTATATTTCTATAATGTTCTCCTCTTTTGTCTTTTCACTTTCTCTGCCTTTCTTTTTTGTCTTGATGCTATGTTGCCTAGAAGCAGAGGCGGATCTACATAGGGACTAATAGGGCTTAAGCCCTGGGCCCCAAGTGTCAAGGGCCCCACAAAAACTGAATTACCATCATAAATTTTTAATACTTTTTCATTAACAATGAGTACTTATCGTATAGTAAAAATAACTAGTATTAATAATATAATAATAATGATAATTTATAGTATTATTTATATTAATAAAAAATAGGGCCATATTGGACTTCAATAAGCCGTAGGCCCCGAAAAACCTAGATCTGTCCCTGCCTAAAAGGCTAATAAATCCAGCAGGGGAGAAAAAGAATACAGTGGTGCCTCGTATAACATACTTAATCCATTCCAAGTGCATGTCTGTTAAGTGAAAAGTCCGTTATACAAAACGCATTTTCCCATAGAAATACATGTTAAAACATATAATTTGTTTCACAAAATAAAATAACCATACTGTACCATAAAAAAATGAAAATGGAGCAGTCACCAATTATGCTGTGTAGTCAGATGTAGTGAGGAGGAGGTGGAGGAACACCTTCTTTACACATTCATACAGATACAGACTTTTTACACATTGCAGCAGGTCTCTTTTTATTGTTTTTTAATCGGAGTCAGATTCAGGAGAGGCTACCGGAGCTTGCAGGGTCAACTCCTCTTGTTCCATCCTTTGTTTTTTGGCAGCTGGCTTCTTGAAAAACATGTCCAAGGTGGTCTGTTTCTCTCTCTTCTTCAACACCTGTCGGAAATGACGGGCAAGGGTGTCATTGTAGAGATCATTGATCCTGTTGGCCTCAGCTCTGTTTGGATAATGAGTGTTGGTAAACTCCTGAACCTCTCCCCATTTGACAAGGAAGTTTTTGTCAACTTTCACTCCTTCTGATGATTTCTTGCTTTGTTTCAATTGAAATCACCTTTCTGTTTTTTTAGAAGCCATGATTTGCACAACACTTGAATAAATGTAAATACCCTGCACTGAGGTGATGTACTGTATGTAATAAACAAGAGAGCAAGCCAAATCCCAACGGGAGCTCTGTACTTCAGATATACTAATAATATATTCTAATAATACTAATATATTATAAAAATAGCAGATTGTCATTGACAACAGCAAACGAGTGGAAACATCATTCGCACTTGTTCGCAGAAAGACTGTTGTTTGCCTCATGTAACTGCTGAATGGAAAGTCTGTTGTTCGCAGCCAGTCCGTTGCTTGAGTCACATAACTGTCAAACAGAAAGTCCGTTGTTCGCAGCGTCTGTTATACGAGGCACCACTGTATATACAAGTAGACAGGAGAATACAGGACACTTTCCTTTTTGAGTGTAGAAGGATGACAGAGGACACTTTCAACAAGGAGAAGGAAGAGGAAGATTGCCAGGTTGTAACATTTCTGATGGCTGTATGAGGCTCTGAGATGAGAAAGAAGGATTGCCTGACTATTCCCATTTTTATACCACCGAATATTAAACTGACACTATCCACCATTTTGGGACTAGAAGTATCTCTCCAAGTCTTTGGACTCTAACAACTGTCTTCTTAAGTTTAAGATAAGTGAAAGTAATGCGAGTTTTATCATTATATGTATATCTTGGTTAATACAATTTGTAATGAGAATCACAAAAGATAACAGTTATTTTACATTTGTACTGATCTTGATAGATCCTCATGCAACCCAGATTAAAAATAAATCTCAATACATATGTTTATAAATGCTAAAATTAAATAAAATAAAGCATAAAATAAAGTACGACATTCATCGTGTCTTGCCACAATATATTCACCAGATCCCCACCACAATGTTCTAATTACCATCAGTTTAATTACACTCACTGTACACATACATACATGCAGTGATGACATTCGAAATATTTAACAAAGGGTTCGCTAACAGAAAATTTTTCCTTAACAATTTTTTTTTTCGCTCAAATAGTGCATCGGAAGGCTCTAGTTTAGTAGTGTTACAGAGTATAATACGTATATTTTAATATTTTTAAAAGAATCAAACCATTGAGAAATGTTACATATGTTTAACAAGGTTCGGAAAACTTTGAAAATGTTAACAACGGGTTTGGCCGAACCTGTGTGAACCCGCTGAATATCACCACTGCATACATGTATAAATGGTATGAATAATATATAATACATGCATATATACTGACATTATCACATTGTAAATACAAAGTTTTCAACATGTGTTTAATCACGATGGTAATAAATAAAAGAAAAATATAAATGTACACACCATTTATTTATTAAAAAGTTTAATTAAAAATAAAAATTTTTATATGTTGAACAAACCCTGAAAGAATATTAGGTCATATTTTTACATAATTAATGAAAGATTTTCAAAAATAAGCAAAAAATGATAAAGAGATTCTCATATTAAAGTGTTTCAGATGTTTCTCCAGCCAAAACATATCCAAGAAATATCTCTCTTATACTTGATACATTCCATTGCCTGGAGCTATGTAAGTCATTTTGTATTAGATGATAAACATGTTTTAAAGAATTTAAAACATACGAATTAAGCATGTTCAATGCAATCCACATGTGCACACAATAATTATAATAATTACAATTATACTAAAAATGTAGTTATAGCAAATGAAGCTTAATTCCAGAATATAGTTTTTTGTCTAAATAAAGCAAATGTATTCAAGTCTTACTACAATTCAAATATAATTACAATAAAAAACTCATTAGATTCTAAAATTTTAATATGTATGAAAGCTTACCTTGCTATTTTCTGATGTCTCTCTTATAAGAGGATTAAAACGATAAGGGTGGTTACTTCTCAACAAGTGAATAGGTGGTGGAGTTTCAGTTCCATACAAAATAAGAGACCATTTCTGTAATTTTCCTGGACCTAATAATTTTAAAATTAAATATGAATTAAATATTTTTGTATAATCAAACCTTTAAAAATAATTTTGGATAAAATATTTTTTTCTACCGTAGGAACGTGATCTATGTGATTCCGTATTTATGATAAGGGTCCATTTTCCTTCAGCAGGTTCACCCCAAAAATGCACAGATAATAAGGGCCAATTATTAAGAGAACCATCTTCAGTATCTCTTGGTCTTGGTAAAAGTACACTAGATGATGTTCCAGAAGGTGATATTAATCTTATATGAAGATTTCCACGTGGTTTATAATAAAGAGAAATTAAAACTTGAACATGTTCTAAGTAGCGCACAGCATTAGGTCTTCCAGCACATGCCTTTGTATATAAACTAACTTTAAGTTCTTCTCCTGAAGAATTTGGAATAACTCTGAAATTAAATAACTACATTTATAAATTCTCTAAATTAAACTTACAAACTAGTACTATTACTTCAAAAAAAATTAAATTTATAACATTCAGAGATTTAAAAGAAACTATAAAATTTCATATTTATTTAAACAAACATTAATTAATAGTGTCTCCAATGTGAATTTTACAAGATTTCTTGTAAAATAAATTTTATAGGAATATTTGTCTTTTCTTTGTTGAAGATGTCTTAAATAGTAAACAGAAGACATAACTGTCTTTAAACAAAAAAAAATTAAATTTTGAATTGATATATATTTAAAAACTTTCCCCTTTGCAGAGTTATTCATAGCCCTCAGTAAAAGCTGAGGGCTATGAACTGGGAAGTATTAAGAGTGTTTCTGTAATACACATACTGTAAAAATTTATGTTTTCTTTTGTATTATACTAATTTAATGTTATATATAATCTCTAAGAATTTCATGATACCTATATACATCTAATAACAAACTAAAAACAATTAAATTAATAATAATAACATCTATTCTTTTACCATTAGAATATAGTTTTAGCATAAAGATTATCTTTAATCTATGCTTTTTCCATTTTATATATTTTTAGAGAAAAATCTATTATATGCACTAAGTTAAAATTTCATTTTAATAAATTGGCAATTTTTAAATATATTATGCATTCTATGTGGTGACAAATTATTTGAACAAATGTAGTATATTCCATAATTATTGCTTTATGTCACTTTACCAATACAATGCTTTCCAATTATATCCATGTTTATTATTTTTGGTATTTGCATTACACTTAAATAAAAAAAAAGCACAAAAACCCTCTTATTATTTTTACTTTTGTTTGGATGGCCAGATAGCCAAGCAATTTGGATGGCAACCCAGTGCTTGGAGACCTGAGATCAAATCCAGACAGGTTGAAAAACTCCAGAAATTTTTCAGGGAATGGTCCATCCAGATATACTGGGTCCTGTCCTTTACCACCAGGCTGTCTCAATGTGGACCTGGTCAAACCCATAATGGTCTTGTTAAAAAAGAACTTCTTAGCATCCACAGGGGGAAGGGTTAAAACTAAATAAATAAATAGATAAAATATTTTTGCATCAATTTTTAGATACAATGTTATTGCACACAATGATTATGTAAATATGTTCTCAGGTTTTTGTGCAGTGGCAAATGGTAAAAGACAGTTTCACTTTAAGGCAATATTTGTTTTTAGATGTCTTAGATGATTGCTTTTAAGTACTGTATTAGTAAAATATGCTTGTACAAAATAACTATTAATATGGAGTTTGTAGGATTGCTCATTTCAACGAAGGAATTAGTAAATTTTATTCAGATGCTGATCCACTAGTTAACAAAATTTTAGAAACATAATAGTTCTTGATATAAGTGGAAGAATGTTATACTTTCAAATACATTCAGTGTTCTTCAATGAATTAATGAATATAAAGAAAATATTTCTGATATAATAAAATATTTTTTAATTGTATATAAAACTTGAACATAAGTAAAAAAATACTGAAATAACTTATTCAAGCAAGTAGATACAAACAACTAAAACTAAAATAACCTTTCAGTATTATCAACAGGAGTATTACAGATATGTTGCTTTCCAACTGGTGTCCACTGTTTTGCTAATTTCACCATGGCAGTAGCATCCATTAAACCATAGCCAAATTTATGACTCACTAAATAAAAATAAAAAATTTAAATTACTTTATAAAATAATATTTTATAATGACATTATATATATAACTTAATTTTATAATTTTACCTTTATTTCCAACACCATTTGTCTGCCAGCCAGTTTCTTGTAATAAAGGTTCTGGACGAGAAGTTAATACTACTAAATGTTGCATGTCTCGCCAAGATAGAAAACGACTAAAAAAATTTTTTTGCCAATAATTAATTTTAATATATTATAAATGTATTTATTCAAGACTACTTAAAATCTTATATTTAAAGTTTCTTAAGTACACACAAAATTTTAGTATTATAAAAATGGTAAATTTATTTACTTTGCTTCTAAAGCAAGAGCACAGATAGCTGCTGCAATTGGAGCTGAAGCTGAGGTACCAGTATGAGAGCGAGTACAAAGGGTAAAAGGATTTGGTTTTCTTCCATTTCTCAAGCCTTCAAAATAAGACATATCCATATCAACTGTCACCTAAAAA